TATTACTTCCTGCTTATATCCATTATAAATACCTCCTTCTACCAGGGGAGGTCCTGTAGGGCAAACCTTTGTCTAATTCATCTTTATATCTTCAATGTAATTATATCTAAAAACTAGTAAAGTGATTGTTTTAAATGAGATTATGGATTTTTTAAATGTGGTGAAATATACATAACATTTACTTCTTTAACCATTTTTAAGTGTAAGTTTTTGTGTGTATTTTGGGTTTTCTTTGATTTTTTAAAATTTTATTGTTTTGTTGTAATAAAACATACATAATATAAAATTTATCACCTTAACCATTTTAAGTGTGAAGTTGAGTGGCATTAAGTACATTCACAATGTTGTGCAACCATCACCACCATCCATTTCCAGAATTTTCTTTAATCATCCAAACAGAAACTCTGTACCCATTCAACAATAACGGTCTATTCTCCCCTCAGCCTCTGGTAACCTCCATTCTAATTTCTGTCACTGTGAAATTGCCTCTTTGGTGTCTCTCATACAAGTGGAATCATGTGACATCAGTCCTCTTGTGTCAGGCTGATTTCACTTAGCATAATGTTTCCAAGGTTCATACATGTTGTAGCATGCATCAGTACTTTGTGTTTTTTTTTAATGGCTGCATAACGTTTTGTTGCTTAAGTGTACAGTTTTGTGACATTCATATATTCACATTGTACTACAGTTTTATTTTTAATTGGTCTTCTTACTTCTCACATGCATGGGACCTGCATACTTCTTTTGGAAGGAACTCCTTGATGGGGATTTGTGAAGGAGGGAGTGTGTGCTGGAGCCCCCTTCCGCTCTCTCTCTTTTTCTGTCTTTCTTTTTGGCTTTTTTTGGAGCAGATGTTCTCTGCAAATAGTTGTCAATTTATTCTGTATTCAGGCTTTTTCAAGCTGTATGTTTTTGGATTACAACAATTTAACAGACCCCACTACGGTGTGAGATGTGAATGGGTATGAGGCACAGAGTGGGAATGGGAAAATGATACAACATAATGCTAATCTCAGAGTCTTGTCAGAATAACATTAGCATGAATTTTTAGCTCTTCTTACGGATGAAAAGTAGCTTCGGCATTCACATTCATCCTAATAAATGTCGAACATTTAAACACTTTTCCGTATATGTATACGGAAGAGCTTGTGCAGAATTCTTTCTAAAGGTTTGTACAGAGAAGAGAATTCATATTCTTTCAAGGAGAACATTGGATATAAATGATGATTTCCAGCTGGAAGCAGAAACATCACTTCGAGTATTGTTATTTGTGGTAGAATGAAACCATTTTCCTCTTATTAACACTCTTACTGTGTTCATAGCTCCTTGGCAGATTTTCGTGATATCCATGATTGTAGGATCTGGTGATACTTAAGGCTCGTTAAGTGTCAAGTTGCCTAAAGGCTAAGGTGGTAGGAGCATTTCTCAGAATGCAAAGATTCTGAGACATGCTATAGTGTGTGTGTGTGTGTGTGTGTGTCTGTCTGTGTGTGTGTGTGTGTGTCTGTGTGTGTGTGTGAGAGAGAGAGAGAGGGGTAGGCTTTCTTTTTCTTTCTTTACAAATTTATTTATTTTTGGCTGTGCTGGGTCCTTGCCACTGTGCGGGCCCTCTCCAGCTGTGGCGAGTGGGGTGCCACTCCTCGCTGCGGTGCGCAGGCCTCCCATTGTGGCGCCTCCCCCCACCGCGGAGCAGGGGCTCCAGGCGCACGGGCCTCAGTAGTTGTGGCTCCAGGGCGCAGGCTCATTAGCTGTGGCGCACGGGCTCAGCCGCTCCGCAGCATGTGGGATCCTCCCAAACCAGGGCTTGAACCCATGTCCCCCGCATTGGCAGGCGGACCCCCAACCACTGTGCCACCAGGGAAGTCCCGTGTTAGGCTTTCTTAACGTTTACTTCAAAGCATGTAATGTTTGGAGAGTCCAGATTAGTTAATTAATTGAGTACATGAGCTAGAGAATTTGAGATCTGGTTTATCTTTCTGATTCTTTGAGTGTATTATTAGACTACACCTCCCACCCATATTTTAGCTTCCGTATCTTGAAGGATGTTGATTGTAAAATACCAGTAATAGAAAAAAAACAATGTGTTATTGTTATGTGACTAGCTACATCCTATTTATCACATGATAATCAGTTTCTATCATATTATATCCAACCTAGTTTGGGCTCTCTTAATCATAATCCCATTTGTTTAAATAGATTTTTTAAAACTCTAGATATACTTGTGATGATTTTTTTTTCCTAATTGTTTAATTGATAACCAGGATTTTCCTCTTCAACCAGGGCCAAAACAGATGTGTAAGACTCTTCTGTCTCATTGACAGTGAAGCAATTAAATTACATGGGCTCAGGCCTGTAAATCATCTCCCATGGTGCCTGGGGCATATGATATGCTTGGGAAATGCTAGATCTTGCCCACACCTTCAAAATGGGATCCCTTGCTAAGATAATTCCTGAAACCTCTGCAGATGCTTTGGAACTTGAGGAAGAGTGTAAGGGCTTCATGTAGGCTCCTTGAGAAGGAGGTGCATCAGGCCAGGCAGACACTGAAACTCCCTGGGCATTTCTCAGAGGAAAAAGATGAGCAAGAAAGTTCTAAGTGGTCCATACAGAAAGGACGCTCCTCATCCAGTCCTTTGCCACACTTGGTATTAGCCAAAAGGCTGAGAAGCGATAACCATTCCATCTCATTGTTACAGAACTTCATTTAGGTCATAACAGAGTCAATGAGGCAGAAACTAGGATTCAAATCTTAACATAGTTACCACATTTACCGAGTTTCTACTACCTGCAGCGTGTTTGAGAGATGGAGTGAAGGAAGAACGCAGCTTTTACTTCCCCTCAGAAGGGGCTCAAAGCAAGGGTGACCCTGTGTCCCAGTTTGTCTGATAAGTTATACGATTAAGCTACAAAGGGGAAGACAGGTATTAAGAAACTAGAGGATATAATTAGAGGGCCTGACCTAGTCTGGGGGAGGACAAAGAAGACATTTTGAAGGAAGTGACTCTGAAGAGGAGACCTGAAGTAGAAGTGTTGATGGAAAAGGCTCAGGTTGTCACTGGCCTCAGGGTCTTTGCACGTGCCCGTTATCCCCTCTGCCGGGGAGAGAGGACCTTCCCACAGCCTGTCCCCTTCCCCCTCAATTTACTAGACAAGTGAAGTAAAAAAATGTTTTACAAACAGCAGGTAGCAGTCCATGAGTCATAAAATTAAGTTAGTGAGTAGTAATCTAATTTAAAAATATATATTGGGCTTCCCTGGCGGCACAGTGGTTGAGAGTCCGCCTGCCGATGCAGGGGACATGGGTTCGTGCCCCGGTCCGGGAAGATCCCACATGCCGTGGGGCAGCTGGGCCCGTGAGCCATGGCCGCTGAGCCTGCGCGTCCGGGGCCTGTGCTCCGCAACGGGAGAGGCCACAACAGTGAGAGGCCCGCATACCGCAAAAAAAAAAAAAAACAAAAAAAATCTACATCTATATCTATATATATCTATAGTTAAATATCAAGAGTACATTGTGCATAGTAAGGGTAAATGTGAAATTTTAAAACCTTTTATCTATCAATGTATGCACAAGTATTTCTTACTGTAGCTCATGGTTAAAATTTTTAAAAAACCTTTTGTCTAGAACAAATCGAAATGAAATCATGCTATTACCTTAACCTTCTCTGGTATACCATCGCATTTCTAGTTATTTAATGTACAGAGAAAGTGAGAAGAATGAGAATGTGGCTCAAGCTGAGGAGGCACCAGGTTATTCGAGGCCTCGTAAGCCTTTTTAAGGATTTTAGATTTTATCCTGAGATAAATGGAAAGTGGTTGAAGTATAAGATTTTTAAAATTTAGCCACAACTTTGTTTTTAACTGTGATTAAATATGAAGGGAATTTGAGAACTAGGAGTGAGTAAAGGCTTTCTGATAAATGTTCTATTGCTTTATTTTTTTTTGTTATTTGGCTGTTTTGTTGCTGTGTGCGGGCTTTCTTTAGTTGGGGCAAGCCGGGGCTACTCTTTGTTGCGGGGCGTGGGCTTCTCACTGCGGTGGCTTCTCTTGTTGTGGAGCATGGGCTGTAAGCGTGTGGGCTTCAGTAGTTGTGGCACGCAGGCTCAGTAGTTCTGGCTCTTGGGCTCTAGAGCGCAGGCTCAGTAGTTGTGGTGCACGGGCTTAGTTGCTCCGCAGCATGTGGGATCTTCCTGGACCAGGGCTCGAACCTGTGTCCCCTGCATTGGCAGGTGGATTCTTAACTACTGTGCCACCAGGGAAGCCCTATTCCTTTAATAAACATTTATGGATTGTATACTGTTCCAGTTGTTTTATAGTCTCTACTCTCATCTGCAAAATAGGTTTCATAATACCTTTTGGAGTTACTGTGAACATTAAATAAGTTGATATGTGTTATGTACACATTTAAGAGATGTTTTAGTGACCTTTTCTTTGCCTCTTTAGGACCACACCCTGAAAATAGGTTGCCTTGTTTTGTCAGAATAAATAATTCCCAGAATAAATAAAATAAGTTAAGAAAGACCTATAGTGGGAATTCTCTGGTGGTCCAGTGGCTAAGACTCGGTGCTTTCACTGCTGTGGGCCCAGGTTTGAACACTGGTCAGGGAACTAAGATCCCACGAGCCGTGAGGCGTGGCCAAAAACAAACAAACAAAACAAAACAAAAAACCTTGGGGTTTTTTGTAAGCTGTAAGAAAGACTTACAGCTAATTCAGTTTCTCTGTATTTGAACAGAAGGTAGTGGCTATTCTCATTTTTTGTTTTTTTTTTTAATGTCAGGCTATTTCCACAGGAGACTATGGTGCTGACATAATTCTGAGATGGCGAAGTTATATCAGAATGACCTTTTAAATAAATCAACATGGAATCTTTCCATCTTTCCTTCCCCCACCCCCAAACATAGTATTAGTCTGACCACACTGTTTGTGTTTTTTTGAGGATAGAAAGTGTCACTGTGGGGTCACATTTCCACTCATTTCTGTTAATTCCCCTTCCCCCTTTAGATTTCACCACCCCATCCTCAGTCCTCTGGAAAGCAGTTTCCAGCTGGAGGTCGACGTACTGAGTCATCTCCTGAAGGCCCAGGCTCAGGTCTCCGAGTGGAAGTTCCTCCCGTCTCTGGTTAACTTACACAGCGCTCACACCAAGCTGCAGACTTGGGGCCAGATCTTTGAAAAGCAACGGGAGACCAAGAAACATCTGTTTGGAGGGCAGTCCCAGAAGGCCATTCAGCCCCCACACCTTTTCCTTTGGCTGCTGAAACTAAAAAACATGCTTCTTGCCAAATTTAGCTTCTACTTTCACGAGGCACTGAGCCGACAAACGACTGCTTCAGAAATGAAAACGCTGACTGCAAAAGCCAACCCAGACCTCTTTGGAAAGATTTCCAGCTTCATCAGGAAATACGATGCTGCCAACGTGTCCTTAATCTTTGACAACCAGGGTTCCGAGAGCTTTCAGGGTCATGGCTACCACCACCCCCATTCCTACAGAGAGGCCCCAAAGGGCGTGGATCAGTATCCAGCCGTGGTATCTCTGCCCAGCGACAGGCCTGTCCTGCACTGGCCCAATGTCATCATGATCATGACAGACCGCACGTCCGACCTGAACAGCTTGGAGAAAGTGGTCCATTTCTATGATGACAAAGTTCAGAGCACCTACTTCCTTACCCGCCCAGAGCCCCACTTTACCATTGTTGTCATTTTCGAGTCAAAGAAATCTGAAAGAGACTCCCACTTTATTTCCTTCCTTAGTGAGATCTCACTTGCCCTTAAGAACCCCAAGGTTTTTGCGAGTCTGAAACCTGGATCCAAAGGTTAGCAGGTGATTTGTGTGAAGGGTTTTCAAGACTGGAAATTGTGTTCTTAATTGCTCTAACAATCTACAGTGGTCTGTGATTAGTTTCCATCCACCTGTGCTTCTTTCAGATCTAAATTAAAGACACATCCTCCCTAATTGTGTTGCACCCTTTATAAGCAGTTAAGGCCAGCTCAGTTACATATCCAAAGAGTAAGCTAGGTGATCATGGCTGCCGGTCTCCGTGGTACAGCAAGGTACTTTCGGCATTTTCTCCTTTTTTCCTGTATTTCATGTAGATTAATATTTATTGGCCTTTGATTTTTCTTTCCAGATGTTTTATATTATTCTAAACGTTGTGCTCCAGTGCAATTTCAAATGCCCTCTCCTTTTCCCCTCTTTCTGGATGAGTAATTGGGATATGATATTAAACGGCTTTTTTAGAATCAAGGACTGTTTTCTAGCTCATAAATTAGCAAATTAACATGAAGCTTTAAGTTTTGTGATCAACAAATATTTTTGATGCCCAAATTAGGGTCTTGGTGAGAAATTTCTATCAGTTTGTGAAATTGAAGGTGAATCAGAGTGGTAGCCTAGCATTTGTGTTTTAACAATTCCGAAGATACTCATGGCATCTTTAATAGCAGTGGTTTCTTTTGAGGTGATCTACACGCCTAGCTGCGTTTGCTTTTCCCCTTATAAAGTTTCAGTTTTTCACTCTGTTTTCAAGTTAGCGTAATCCATTAAGTGGGGTTTCTTCTTTCAAAGTATAATCTGCTTGGCTCTCTGTCACCTTTTTGCTGAAATGTATGTTCATGTTTGGCTGTATTCCCTGGTTATTTTTAGGCTGAAAAAACAGGCCGTCTTGGTTTTTCAGCCACTTTTACGCAACTTAGCCTACTTTTATAAAATTAAAATGGAGGTCTTGATACCTTTTACTTGCTAAAAATCAATTGTGCATTCAAAAGACCTCTTCGTAGTTGAGTCATCAACCCCGCAGTTAAGCACATCTGAACTTGGGTTTCATGCCTGTCTCCTCCACATTATTTTTAGAAGCAGTGATACATCTTAACACATGCTTCCTTAACACTTCCCTTCAGTAGGTGTTCATGGGGAAGGAGATAGGTCAGTAAAGCCATAATGGGCTGTGGAGACCTTCACTTCTAGGTTATTGATTCAGAATAAAAATAAGCCACAAAGACTAATTGAGTTGTAACTACTTGATAGTTCCTTCAAAGCTTGTGTGCAAAATAATGATCAGAGCAGTCCTGTTTTTCATGATTGCATGGAGCCACTGTTTTTACTGGGCGGCCACAGCAGGCAAGCTGGCAACATTGGCAGAGACCGGAGAGCCCCTTTGAGCCCATGTAGGAGGCCTGCCCACCTCAGCCTGGACTCCCTGGTGGAAGAGCCCACTGGCCTATTTTCTGGGAGAACATGTTGTTTTGTTTTGTTTTTTCCTTTTTTTTTTTTT